GGGAAATTTGGGGCGGAAATTGGGGGGTAATGGGAAATTTGGGGGGGAAATGGAAAAATTGGGGAGAAAAGTGGGAAATTTGGGGAGGGGAATAGGAAATCTGGGGGGAAAGTGGGAAATCTGGGGGAAAGGTGGGAAACTGGTGGGAGGAAACAGAAGGAAGAAGCTGGCACAGAGCATCCCTAAAGCCTCCAGGCAAACCTCGGCCCCGCACCGCAGGGCTGCAGCAGCCCAGCCCCTTTCCAGCCAGGCCAAGGCAGGGAATGCTGCCTCTTCTTTAAGCTGGGAATGCCTCAAAATAATTAGCAGGAAAGCTCATTAGAGCCGAGCTAAATGCTCCAGCCTCGTCCTTGGGAGCTGCCAGCAGCTCGTTTGCCCAGACCAGGAATGAAACGCAAGGAGCGGGGGGCATCTCATCAGCCGGGACGCGGTTGATGATCAGATTAAGGATGTGTTTGCACAAGGACTGGACGCGAAGGACGGTCCCTGGGCAGCTGCCACGCTGCGAGAGAGGCAGCGGCACAAAATGGCCCTGCAGGGAGCACGGGGGGGCTGGGAGATGCGGCGGCTCCTCTGGGTACCGCGGCTCAAGAGCTACCTCTAGAGGTGCAAAAGCATCCTCCGAGCCGCCACCACGAGCATCTTCATGAGGACATCGCTCCTTCGTGGGGTATTAACAACGTGAGCAGCGTATTCCCGCATCGGGGACAGCCACAGCTCATGTCAGAGCAGGGATACGGGGGTTGTCCCACCGGAGAGTGCCTCAGCCATGTCCAAGCAGGACGTCCAGGCTCCGAGCTCCCCCGAAACTCCTTCTGCACCCTCAGGGTAAGTGATAAAAGGTTTTGATGCCAAAAGAGAGCGAGCAGCCAGCTGAAAATCGGGGATTAATTGGGAAACTTCGCAGGGATGCTCATGGAATTGAAGTGGCATCAGGAGAGGCAGAGCAGGCTTCCACGGAGGCCGAGACTGGGATGTACAAATGGGATGTGGATGGGGAGAAGGAGCAAGGAAGGCAGTAACAGGGATTAGAATGGAGCCCCCCTCCCCTAAAAACTGCATTCCCAGCAGAAATCCCAAGTGCTTTCTTGGGCTTTGACCCCAAGAGCACATCCATGGGCGAGGGATTGGCAGTGATTCATTGGGAGTGAAGGGAAAGATACCCCACAACGCGCCCGAGGCATGGATGGGACCCAGGGGTCCTGACCTGGTCCCACTGCTTTGGTCCATGGAGCCCCTGAGGATGGACCCTCAGCCATGCAACTGCTGCTTCTCCATCGACTCCTGCTCTGGCCTCTTACAGAGACCAGCTCCTGATCCCCAGGGATGCGACAGCCTCTTCCTCAGGCCCTGGAGAGAAACCAGGAGCAATCCCTTAAACGATCCTTCTGGAGATGTGAAGGCTTCCAACAGGTTAAGTCAGAAGCAGTTAACATCAGTGTCACTGCCCCAGTGATGGACTCCAAGGGTTGACACGTGCTTGGAGTCCGGAGCCAGGGCTCCCTGCAGGAATGGGACGAGACAGAGCCGAGCTGCTCCATGATTCCCCAGAGCACAGGGAAGGGGCCTGGGTCCAGGCCATGGTGAAACACCAAGTCAGGTTATGGTATCACAGATGTCATTTATCAGACATGACAGAGGGGCAGCCACAGCTTCTCTGGGCACCCTGTGCCAGTGTCCCACCACCCTCCCAGGGAAGAGCTTCTGCCCAAGAGCTCATCTCAATCTCCCCTCTGGCAGGTTCAAGCCATTCCCCTTGTCCTGTCCCTACATCCCTTGCCCAAAGCCCCTCTCCAGGTCTCCTGGAGCCCCTTTAGGCCCTGGAGCTGCTCTAAGGTGTCCCCTTCAGGAGTCTTCTCTTCTCCAGCTGCCCCAGCCCAGCTCTCCCAGCCTGGCTCCAGAGCAGAGCTGCTCCAGCCCTCGCAGCAGCTCCGGGGCCTCCTCTGGCCTCGCTCCAGCAGCTCCACGTCCCTCTTGCGCTGTTGCCCCAGAGCTGGATGCAAACAGAACCCAACAACAGAAGAGAATAAATATTAACTTACAGCTGGTAACAAACGTGGAGAAGCTTTTCTGTGAGCCCCATCTCTCCTGTAGGATTAAAACCACCCCAACCCCAGACAGCGAGAGCAAACCGAGCACACACTGCAGAGGTTTTTGTTTGTTCTAATAGAAGCAACAAGACCTCTGCAGGCAAAGGAGGAGAAATAATCAATACCAGAGCTCTTCACATGTTTAATTGGAGAGGGCTTTATTTGCTGCTGAAGAGAACTGGAACTATACAGCTGGTTTGCACTGGACCAAAGCTGGGATTTGATTTCATTCCATGTCTCCATGTTTATTGCGCTAACCAGAAGCAATGCAGTGTAACTGGAAAACAATGACTTACAGTGTTCAAACCACACGTGGATGAAGAGGAGCTCGAGGAAAAAGAAAACAGCCTCCTAGCTACAACAGCAAATCCACACTACAGTCGCCCTACACCATGGCACCGTCGTGTCTACACACTGGAGTGACGTGAGGCTGGAAGGGGAAGCGCACAGCGTCCTACGTACCGCTACACAGCTCGGGCTGGCTACAGAGCCTCCTGCAGTGGCACCTACTGGCCTTTAGCCTCTCGTTTGTCATCAGAACCAAAAGGCAGCTTCAAGTTTTGAGAGTCAAAGCAATGGCAGGAGAGGGGAGAACACCCGGTGCCACCGTGGGATGGGACAGAGGGACCATCACCGAGGCTGCTGCGCTGAGGCCCCGAGGGACGGGTGTCCCCATGCTAAGTGGTGAGATCTTACACTCAATTTACAGATGGCTTTAGTCAATCAGTTCTACAAACCAAGAGTGGGGCTGCCCAGCAAATCCCCAGCCTCGTGGTTCGAAGGAGCTTGAGCAAACATGCAGAGGGTTGGGGAGCTCCTTCCGTCGTAGCACCACAGGTCAGGAGTCGGCCTCGCCAGCGCCAGTGCAAGGAACACTCAGGGCAGATGTGGGAAGCACTGAGGTGGGACCTTTAGCACTGACACCTCCTCGGCTTAGGAGCCACATCAGTCTAACTCAAGCAGCTGTGGCATGCCAGGAATGTTGGGTTTAACATTCTGCTTATGAAAGATGCTGCTGTCTGATTCTGCTGGTGTTCTCACCCTTGGCTAACCATGCAGGGGAAAGCCACCGTGTCCGGTGCCACAGAAGATACCGAGATATGAAATGAGCTTTTTATTTGTTAAACTGGATATGAAGTTCCTTTGGGAGAGTGCAGGGTTGGAGTAGGTCGTGTTGTTGGTGGGGTTTTGGTTCGTTTCCTTTCTTCCCCCTCACCCTTTGCCTTCCTCCTGGCACAAGGCACTTCACTCCGTGCGTAGGATGATGTGGATCCCTGACTCTGTGAACACGGGTCCGCTCATCTCACCGGCCCTCAGCGCAAAGGAGGCGTCTTCAAAAGGCTTCTGCATCTGACCTGCAGAGAGCAGACACCAGAAAGCTCAGTGCAGCCCAGCAAGGAAGGAGGAGATGGTTCTGAGCAAGCAAGCCTCAAACGAAGACAGCTCCCAGGCAAACAACAAAGTCGCCACTTAATAACTTGCAGAGGGTGTTTGTTTTCAGCGGCTCCCAAAAGATGCTTCAAACCAACTCTTTCACACTCATGCGCACAGATTTTCTCTGTTTTAAACACATCAGGCTCTACAGACATCACTGCAGCAAAAGAGGATGCTCAGAGGGCTGCAGACCCAAAAGGCTGAGGAGGATCTGTGCTGCAGACTCACTGACACAAGTTTGGTTCCAGTCTCGTGTGCCCTCCAGGTACTGGTGGGGGGAAAGGCTGTGGTGTGCATTACCAGCTGCACTAAATAATTCACAAGGCACACACAGATATCAGCATGACCTAGATAAGAACGGGGTTTAAGGCTCCAGTCTCCCAAGTCACTGAGTTTCAGCAGGTTTAATAACCCAGGCTCAGGAAAGCCAGAGATGCTCAGAGGAAAGACCCCGCGTGGGGATTCAGGAGCAGTGGGGAGAATCCCAGAGTCCTGGAATGCTTTAGGCTGGAAAGGACCCTCAAGCTCATCCAGTTCCAAACCCCTGCCATGGGCAGGGACACCTTCCACTAGAGCAGGTTGCTCCAAGCCCCTGTGTCCAACCTGGCCTTGAACACTGCCAGGGATGGGGCAGCCACAGCTCCTCCCTTCAACCCATCCCAGTGTCCCACCACCCTCACAGGGAAGAGCTTCTGCCTAAGATCCCATCTCCATCTCCCCTCTGGCAGGTTCAAGCCATTCCCCTTGTCCTGTCCCTACAGGCCCTTGTCCAAAGCCCCTCTCCAGGTTTCTTGTAGCCCCTTTAGGCACTGGAGCTGCTCTAAGGCAAACCTTATTTCTCTGCTCACAGAGCTCACCTCGAGGAGATGCACAGCCCAGCACCTTGCCAAAACCACAACAGAAATCTCCTCCTGTCAGTTTATGACCCTTGTCTCCAAGCTTCGAGGCAGTGCTGCAGCGTGGGACTCTCAGCACGTTGGAAGGGGGCTGCAGAAAGCTTCCAGGCTGGATCCTCAGCAAACATGGCAGTGACAGAGCAATCTCTTTGCAAACTAAAGCTTCTCAACCCCTTCCAAGCCTCCCACATCTATCCCAGCAGCACCTTCAGAATGGGTGTTCTACTTTAGTTCCTCCATCCAGCCATCTCCCCTTTCTCTAAGGAGGCAGTTGGGTGTCACAGAAGATGCTCTACCCCTCCCTTTCAGGTATTTTCCCCTTCCATAGTGGTTTATTACGAACTGACTTGATGCACGTGGCTCCCCAGCACTTCACTTCTCCCATTTCAGTGTTTCGGAGAGGCAAGCAGCTTGCCTGGCTCCCAGGCTGCAGTTACAAAGCCAGCATCATTCACTGTCACCTGAATTTTGGGGTTCTTTTCCACTAGGACCTGTAATCCTGGCTTCAGCTGAGGTAAGAGCCTCCTTGCTCCACCGCAGCACTCCTCCTCGAGCTGGAACATGACTTATATGAAGGGTTTCAAGAAGACAAATGGAAATGGTTTAATAACTTCACCTCTGCAGTAACCAGTGCTCCAGGTTCTAACAAATTACATTTGCAGCCCAGTTGAGTCAAGAGGTCAGGATGCAGAGAGGGGGATGGAATGCCAGTGCCGGGGTTGGGCCACCACACGTGGTTCCAATGCCATCTAGTGGAACGTGGCTCTTGGAACATTACATTTTGGTGCAGGCATTAAAGAACCACTACTCAAACTCTCTTTGGGTCCATCTCTAAAGAGCACAAAGAGCTGAGGTGCCACCAAACCCAACCCAGAAGACACAGCAGCCTGGGCTTAGTGCTTCGTTCCCTACAGAGCCATAGCACAGCACTGGTTACTCCTGCGTGAACCGATCGAGTTGAGGAAGCAACTGCTGCAGAATTACACCCTAAAAGGAACAGTAACTAAAAAGAGTGTTCTGGTGGGGAAAAAACACCAAAAATTCATTCCTGAATATAGTTCCATTCAATCCTAAAATGGGTTGGGTTGAAGGGACCTGAAAGCTCCTCCAGCTCCAACCCCCTGCCACGGGCAGGGACACCTTCCGCTAGCCCAGGTTGCTCCAAGCCCCTGTGTCCAACCTTCGCTTCCAGGGATGTGGCTCTTCCTCTGGAATTGCTGCAAGTCCCTATGCCTTCAGTCACATTCTCTCCTTGGCAAGAACCTTTTCTCACCCTCTTCTGGCAAAATATGCATGGACACCCTGGCTATAAACAGATTTGGGGTTGTTCGTTGAATGTTGTGGCTGTCCTCATGCTGCCACCGCTTTATTCTCCTCCCAGGGCAAGTGCAAAAAGCACTGGGAAGATAAAGGAAGCAAGATGCACTGTTGCACTTCCCCATCCCAAAGCTGATTCTTCCCACACTGGCAAATCTCCCAACTGGCAAATTAATGGGGAAGCAGCCCCAAGGTTTGGCTTGTTGCTCCCTCCCTGCACTGATCCATGTGAAGTGTTCTCACTTCCCCACTTTGTTCAGAGCTCTATCATTGAAGATGAGGATGCCAAGTCATTTCTCTGGCACGCCCTTAGCAAGACTTAGCCCCTGCTTCCTTCTTCATGGCTCATTACGCTGCAGCTTTCCATTGAAAGCAGCTGGAAAATCCTTTTCCAGAGGGAAAAGCCGATTTCACGACGGCGCTTGCACAACATCACTCCCTGCCTGGGATAATCCTCGAGTTGCATTCCTAATTGGTTTAACTTCCAGGCATCCAACTCCATTTCCTGCTCAGCAGGCTGCCTCAGCATATAAATCCCTTTTCTCACTTGTATTAACCACCCCCCCCCCGCCAGGCAGATCGGCATCAAGCCTCTAATCCCACTGGGGCATTCCCACTCGGGCACTGCGCAGCTCCACGTACCTCTCCCAAACACACCCAGGTCTCCTCCTGCTTTCGCCGAGCTGCAGTCGCTGAACTGGGAAGCAAGTGATTCAAAATCCTCTTCTCCTGATTTTATCTTCTGGATGTAGCCTGGAAAGACAAGGAATCATTCAGTCAGGGGCAGGAGAAAAACCACCCCAAATCTCCCCATAAGCAAGAAGGGCCCAGAGCACCGTGTACCTCCACGAAGCAAAGCTTTCCAACCTCCTAAATGAAGACAAAGCCAGAACTAAATGTTCCCAACACCCCAAAAGTGCTTGCCTCTGGTTTGGTTTCCAAGCACCTTCCCCTCTTTGCACCACGGCTCATTTCTATTCCAGATTCTATTAAAGCGAGCAGTTGATTCTGCCTCCTGCTACCCCTGGAGCACGGGATTTATGATGGGGCTTGGGAAGAGATGAGCTTTTGATTTCAGAAGGGCTCACCTCTATAGAAGAGTGAGCACCAAGAATCCCCAAGGAGTGAATTATTTGTCAAGACAGCTCTTTAAAAGGTCAGTGAAGAAATACCTGTAGCCTTAAGTAAGAGCTCTGCCTCCCTGCTCTGAGTCTGGCCCATTGCAACCACCCCTCTGCTAGCTCTGAACAAGGAGTATACCACATTTTCCAGTCAACAGCTGGACAACGTGCCTGTGGAGCTCCTAATTACAGGAATTACATTGGAGATGAGCAAAGCACAAGGGTCACTACTCCATCCCTTACCACCACTCATGGAGACGAGCCCACACTGAGTCCTGTGCAGCTTCACGCACTTAACCAGCTCCAGCTCCCTCAGGAAAAGGGGCACAAGCACTAATCCAAAGCCCAAATCTAAATCTTAAACTGGCCCAAAATGCAGCCACCCCCTCCCCAAAACGCAATTGAGTATTAGCTGCAAGAAATGTTTCTGCATGAGGACACAGAATCACGGAATGGGTTGGAAGGGACTTTACAGCAAATCCAGTTCCAATAGGGACACCAGGTTGCTCCAAGCCCCACCCAGCCTGGCCCTGAACACTCCCAACCCGGTTTTATCTTAGCTGCAAGCAGTGCAAGATTCCTACCTGGAAAAGGGTCATGGATGTAATTCCAGAGCCAGGCTTTATTACTGGAGGGGGGGGGAGGGGATGCTCTCACAATAAGGAATGCAAAAGGATGAAGAAATGAGTCTTTTCCAGCTCATTTTAATGCTATAGACTTTGAGAGACCCAAAGAAATATGTGAGGGCTAGGGGTAGGCAGGAAAATATTCCTTAAGGAGAGGATGGAGGTTGCCAACAGACCCAGCAGCAACCGAAGCAGCAGGATGTCCATTTTTGACTCAGTTTAATGCCAGCAAAGCCAAGCCAAAGGGACTTTAAGTCTTCATCTTAGTGTTTTACAGCCCCCCTTCCACTCCCCAACTCAGGCACCAGTTTCAATCTGCTGCCATTAGTCCAAGCCTTTGGAATCCAACAAGGTGCTCGGGACAAGGGTTGATTTTCCAGCTGGACAGGCTACAAACCAATGTGAACAGCAGATGGACTGTGTCTTGTTCTGGAATTTCATCCTTTGTGTTAGGAGCTGACCTGAATATAACCCAAAAGCCACAGAAAGTTCTCTTCATGTAACAGAAACCACTTGGTCCCTAAGTGAGGTTCTGCACATGCATCCTACCTGCTGCGTAAAAAGGTGGAGAAAGGCTAACTTGAAAGCCTGAAACTCTACAAGACTTAAGGCAACAGCTCTTTATCCTGCATTAGAAACAGGATTATGTCTGGGTGGAAGACACTTCACAGCATTCATGGATCCTGGGTTCCTCCTAGGAAACGAAGCAGCTCGAGGCCAAACAGTTGCTGACAAAACAGTTTACCCTAAAAACACATGGTTGTACCCCCATAAATATGCATTTAATTGCCTGTAACTACCAGTTCCCAGCAAGTACCTGTCACACATTGCACCCAGAAGTGTCAGGAATCACAGTTCTAAGAGAGATGCCCATGGAAAAGGAAGGAAGCAGCCAAAGGAAGGAGCAGAGTGTTCACATTGACACCCAAACCTGCCTGCCCCGGCCCCAGCAGCAGCATCCACGGGTAAAGAGGGTTTCACCACTCAACTGAAATAGCATTTACTTCTTCCAGCTCCCTGATGTGATGCCAGGGAGCAGCCTGAGAGCAAAAGCTGCCTGGCAACTCCATGGATAAAGCCAAAGGCTTCTGTAAAGCTGAAGTCATTGTTCCAACCCGACCAAGATACCTGAAGTTTGGCTCTGTGAAGTGGGATTAAGGAGCCCTTTCCCTAAAAAAGGCCTCTTTTCCCTAAAAGAGGGCTCAAGCAGGATGGGGACCACGTACACATGGATTATGGATAACTCCAGAAGCAGCTGGATGGCTTTAACAGTGAGAAGCGTGGCGGTGGAGTCGCAGCATCCTCCCTGTAGTAACTGCCACAGCAAAGGCAGAGCCAAGAGTTAATCTGGACTCTTGCACCCCCCCATGAACCCATGCTCAGGAAAGATTAATTCAAAGTGAAGTGCAAAGGAGGGCTAAGAGCAGAAACAGCATTGACCTACATTACCAGGAACTAAAAGCCTGGTTGGCTCGGCGTGGAAAAGCAGGTTGGGAAGGAGCAGGATGCTCTGAATCCACGGAGGGGTCACCATCAGCAAGAAATGCCACTAAATTCAGTACTTCAACACCACTCGTGCAAGAAACAATGAACAGAAACAGAGCAGAAACCAGGTTTCTACATCAAACAACTAATCCTAAGCTGACATTTGCTAGGACCTTCCCAGGAATTGCTTCTTGGGGCCAGATGTGGCCACAGAGGTGGACAGGGGTTGGTTTTGGGGGGGTTAACACTGGTATTCCCATTAGGGGAAGAAAAAGAGGAACACAGAAAGAGGAAAGAGGGACTTGGCAGCTCTGCTCCAAGATTTGGGTCCCTTTCTCTTCACAGCAGCCTCAATCCCTTGGCCCAGATCTTCACCTGAGGCTTTGTCACCTCTGCTCACACCTTCTCAGCCACCCTCACCTGAAGGAAGCAATTCCCTCAGCGCCGAAGTCCCACCTCAGGCAGGGAATGTCACTTCCCTTTCCAAGGGCAGTGAGTGGGTACCACCTACTGGTCACCACCTCGAGTTCTTCAGCACAGAACTCCCCCTCCCAAAGCTTTCACATAAGAAAGTCCTTGCATTTAGTGGTGCTTGGGACCAAGGCCAGAGCCAGAACATCCTCCTTATCCTCTCCCCTTGTTGCTGAAGCCAGAAGGATAAGCCAGGCCCAGGCTGGGCTGTGTATCTGCATGCTCCTACCTTGCTGCCAAGGAAAGACAAAGCCACCCACTAGCAAGCAGAGTCTCAGCTTCATCAATTCATCACTTGGGGGGTTTAAAGTGAGGTTTAATTCACTCCCAAATCCCTCATCCTAAAAGGGAAAAGCCAGGAGGAAGAGCTGGGCTTGAGATTTGCTTCCCGAAGATCAAAACCTCAGGGGTGAAGAAGCACAACATCAAATCACAAGGCAAAAATCTACCTGCAAAACTGAAGAGAACCTATTGCAAAAGGCACCTTAAATCAGCTCCTAAGCCAGAATACTGGGGGAAAACCCAAGCAAATTGGGTCATTTACACAGCTTTGGGCAAGGCTGATGGCTTCCTACAAGCATCTTGCTTTGGGCAAAGCTGATGGCTTCCTACAAGCAACTCACTTTCAAGCAGAGCTTCAATGGAACTTAAATGACTCTAAGTTGCTCCCAAGGAGTCAAGTGACATTAAACAAAAAAAAAAGGTTTAAAGAACATCTGGGTTTAGCTTGAAATCAGTTTATTTTTAAATGGAAAAATACACGTTTACAACAAAAAATACAAACAAACCTCTGGCATAACATCACACACACACAAACAACACCACAGAGGGGAAGACACATGGGCTGGCACCTGCCTCTACATCATTGCATCGCCCAGCAAAGGAGCTTCTCCCAGTGGCTGGACCACACAAAAGTCCACTTGGCTGAAACCACTTCCACAACCCCCCAAAGCCCTCAGCTGAGGGGGCAATTCTAAGCCTGCAAACGCTTTTCCCCCTCCAAGAGCAGGAGAGTCTCGCTCTCCTCTGCATTTACTTGCCATTTATAAGCACCAGAGCCTCATCTTTGGTCCTCGTGATCTTGTCCTGCCGCCAGGACGAGGGTCTCCTGGACTGGTTGTGTTTCACCAGGAGGTGGGAGCATCGCACCTTGCTGGGCTCGCCG